ATTGTTTCAAAATTTTTATATATTTAATTAAATGAGTTTTCTATTTCATTTATATTTTTAAATACATCGAAATTGAAATTTGAATCATACTAAATGTGCTTTTCTATTAGTTTGGTTCAGGGTAGTATCTAGTCGAGCGCTCTCGACTAGGGTTTTCTTACTTGTTTTATTTATTTCTTGTTTTTCGGCGCGTGCTCAAAATACCTGCGTTTATCCCCTACTAGCAGAGCGAATCAGCTAAAAGCTTCAAATTTCATGCAGAACATACATACACACACACACACACATACACAAACACACATCCTGTGGCATCCACTTGGATTCTTCGTCATGTTTGCCATGGCATTGGCCGCATACAAAGTGTGTTTAGAGTAGCGCATAAATTTCAAAAGTGCCACGCGTCATCAAAATCAAATGCCAGGCACAGGGAAAAAGCCAGCCAAAAAACAAAAAAAACAAAAAAAACAAAACAAAACTCGTATATATGTAGTATGTATGTGGGTGAATAGGTGGGGAATACCCCCACAACTGAGCTGAACTGAGTTTGCAGCTTGTCAACGACAAAGGCAACAAGATGTATCGCAAAATCAATTGATATGACATCAAATTGAATTTGTAATTTCCCTGCCCAACTCCCCGTCTCCTTGTTTCGCTTCATTTTGCTCAATGGCCGGCGGCTAAGAGCGGTGTTTAGCTCTCCGGGCGACTTGTTTATGTTGTTCTGTCTTTATTGCGTTTAATGCTGGCAGCTTAAGAATTTACGCACGTTTTGCCTTGCCAGCCGGGCGCAGATGGTATAAAAAATCAACCAGCCGGAAGGGTCGCCCTCGGCATGAGTTCGCATTCGCGTGTCTATTGCCATCGTCCAGACCATGCGATTATATGTAAATGTCTATATTGGCGAGCCCATTAGCCAAGTGTAGTACTTCTAAGTGAGGCATGCACAGTTCAAGGCGCAGTTAGTATGTGAAATTTAAAGGAGCGTGTCCCTATTTAGTCAAATGTCTGCATAATCTATTGATGTGAATTCATCAGATATGTCTTGACGCTTAGTGAATAACAAACTTGCAAGTATTAATAATAAGTAAATATATATATATACACTTTCGTTTAATAAAAAAAACATATTTAAATATTTATTTTTATTTATTTTAAATCTTAATTTTACAGAGATTTGTTTCTAGGTATATCAAGTTAATTTAAAGATATTAATGATGTTAGAAAGCAATTAATTTAAATAATTTTATAAATATGAATTAATATTTCATAAATTGATCAATATGGGAATCAACATGAATATTTTTTCTTGATCTCCCACATCTGTACCACTCTCGTTTTTTACAGGGTGTTGTAAGTTACACTTCGTTTTAAAAGTCGAATCCCAATTGAAATTGTTCTCATTTCTTCATGGCAATTACGTGAGAATAAATAAACTCAAAATTGTAATAAATGCCAATGAATGCAAAAATAAAAATGAAATGAAAACCATAAAAGACATTTGACTTACAATGTGGGTTTGTATATAAGTTTTGTATTATTCATAGAATATATGATATTTGATGGCTTGGTATACGCCGTAAGTGGCACAGAAGACGGAGCCTGCTTCGCTCTGAGGCAGAAGACTTATCACAAGGGGCCACGCAAACGACGCATTTAAGGATTTGGCCGCTTGGGACTCATGCTTAGCACTGAGCTGACATCGGACATGTTGTCCGTATCAAGTGCAGTGCTACTTGGACTGCGTTCATCCAAGTCCACGACATGTATATCGAAGGCATTAGAATGGCTGGGCCGCACGCGATGTAAGCTACCTCTGCCTAGGCCCAGCTCCACAGAGAAGGGCATCGTCGCTCTGGCCCTGTTGCTGACAATGGCTGTTGCTGGGGCTTGGGCTGCAGGCGGTGGGGCATGCTGAGCGTGTGAGACGTGTGGGGCAGACGGCGCCGTCTTTTTGGCGGTGGGTGCAGCAGCCGTGACCAGCTTACTTGGACACAGCGGTAGCTCGCGTGTGCGATTGCTGACACGACTTGGCGCCGGCTGAGGCTGTGGCTGAGGCTGTGGCTGAGGCTGTGGCTGAGGCGCCGACATCCGATTCACATGCAGTTCCGGTGCCGTGTGGGATCTGGACCAGTCATTGCCGGCGGCCATTGCACGGGCGGGCGCAGTGCTCAGGGGGGGACGCCAGCAGGGCTTGATTGATCGCCGAGGCCGGTTGATCTCCTCGCTGATCTGATTGAGCAGTTCCAGCAGCGTGCTGGTCTTCTCGTCCTCGAACTCAATACGAATGGGCGACTCGCGACCCGACGCGCAGCCCGGGTTGAGCAGAATGAGCCTAGAGAGCATTTAATTAGAATCATTCATTACGATTGCTGCAGAGAAACTCACTTTCTGGCCTCCTCGATGGCCTTGCCCAGATTGTGCAGACTCCTGCGCTGATGCTTGGTGCTGCGGCCAATCTGCGAGTTCTGCAGCGTGCCCTGCAGCACCACATTCCACTTGTGTGTGCTCGACTGCAGCAGCACAGTGCGTGCCACTCGCTGAAAGCGCTCGCGCGCCGTCTCCTTGGCCGGCCTCGAGGGCACCGACTCGACCTTGACCTCACGCATCTCGCCCTCGCCGTTCACGTTGCCGAGCAGCTCCGGCTCGCTGCTGGCCTGCACCGGTGCCACCTGGAAGCCCTTCATGAGCCGTCGCTCCCAGACTTTCATGCGACGAGGTCGCGGATCTGCGTTGAGTATGTATTATACACATATATCTGCCTTATATTTGGGTCAAGTAGTCGACTGTGCGCACTTACGCTTCTCCTTCTTATTGGCTGAGGACACGTCCATGCCGCTGTTCTCAAATATCTCCAGCATTTCATAGCGCATCGTGCTAATCTCGCTCTTGACCTCGTTGATGTCATCCTCAGTAACCGGATTGTTCTCAAACTTGCGATGCATGGCCGAGATATAGCGCCAGACCAGCGAGCGCATGATGTTGTCGTATTTGTTGTACTGCTCCTGCTCCTGACGTTTCTGCAAGAATAGGGAGTAAAACAATTTGAGCGAAACAGTCAGGGTGGGCTTCGTTAAGTGGGGCTTACCTTGGAGCGCTGTCGATCAATGGCCTTGCTGGACTTTCTGAACACCCTAATGAGCCACTTAACCGAGGGCAGCACATTAAACGGCGGCGGCAGAGTGGCGCTGTCCTCGAAGTAGCTCATCCAGAGCTTGGTGCGTGCGAACTTCCACTCGGTGTCCGAGTGCTCCTGCAAATCACGCAATCAATGACATTAATGAAGCCACTGGCCAGTGGTGCTCCCACTTCGGCGACTC